ATGTAAATACTTATATGTATATAAAAATTCTGTCATTTGTAAAGAATATATAAATTACTGTTAAATATGTATAAATCAAAAATTAAAAATTCCTAAATAATATCATAACCAATGCAATTAATATGCAATCTGTTCGTTAAAATATTGTTAAGTTATGCTCTGTAAAATTTGACATTAGGTGGAAATCCTTAAATACTTTGCATCATTATAAAAAAACACTCCTATAACTAACAAGTGTGTCATGAGCATAAAACAAATATGTCACACCGTTCATTAATACAATAAGCAACAGCGGGAGGCGACAGTAACGATTCTAATTACAGACGGAGCATGTTTGTGCCTTAGATCTCTATCAATTACAACATAATCGAAGCGCAAACTAGCAACTAATTGATTCTCGGTTAATGAGCTGGTTATACACACATGTACATCGAGTAGGGACGTGCATCATGAAGCACGTAAATGGAATGAAACTGACACGGAAAGGAAAGAAAAAAAAATCTTGCCGACCGACGCGATGTGAACCAAGAATTTAATGTGATTGTCCCCTGCCATAAGTGAATGGCTTAGCAGCGCACGTGCCGGAGTTTAAAAAAAACTTGACTAGAAAAGAACGAGCGTGCGAAGAAATAACATATATAACGTGATTTCACAATTTCCTTACTCCAAAGATTCCATTTTTTCTTTCCTTATTTATAGTAATCTCATCGACTTGTTTTCTTTTTTTTTTCTTTTTTCATTTTTTCATTTCAGCATTATCCACTGTGAGGTAGAATACTAACAGCTATAGGTAGTTCCTGCCATTAATATAAAAATCTGATTTATCACTTCAATGGCCATATCTTGAACTTTTTTTTTTTTTTTGCAAGTTAGGAAAAGTCTTTTAGAAGAAATTTGTTCATTAGTTATTCATGTAAAACTAACTAAGAAATTTCCATTCCAATGCAGCATAAGAACTACCTATGTCTTTCAATATTCTCAGAGTAAAAGCCTAACTCCTATTGTGCCGCGTAAGCCCTCCAATTATGTGTAACACTTCGTCGGTGACTTACAAAGCACATTTTGCGGACATGCCAAACACACAGATATCCCTAATCGTCTTTGTGTATGAAAAAGTAAAAAAATGATTCGTTTTCTTTCCATGTTATAAATTCACAGCAGTTTTACATGCCGTACAAACAAACGTACGTGCTGGTTCTTCGCGCATTTCCAACTGAATAAGAATATCAGTCTTTCTTTAGAAGAAAAATTAGCGCAGGCGTGCGTACACGCGCTTATATTGTATATGACACGTATCTTACAAATAAACTTACACGCATGCGTGAGTGATAATATTAATAATTGTAAATCGTAAGGTAGATCATATCAGCGTTTGATCTTTCCTTGTCATCGAACGGTAGAATAACAACGCATGCCGGTAGAAACGTTTTGGAAGAATACAAGCCAGTTCTTAATTCAGTTTTTAAACCATATAAACTGTGCCATCTATATTTGATCGTGCTCAAGGTAAAAAAAAAAAAACGACACGTGTAAAGTGTAACAATAAGAAGAAAGAATAAATAGAATTACATAAAAGTTTGTAAGTTTTTATGAATCATAATTTCACGATTGCACAATGCAATTTACATTTGAGATTGAGCTTGAATATTGTATAAATAGTACAATATAAAAAACCACGATCAAACATCAGATTGGTAAGCTATATGGTCCACTTGTCAGGATATTCGTACGTCTTATAAATATGCTTAACTCTTTCACTAGTCCATCAAATAGTCGTATTTGTTAATAAAAAAAGCACTTACTTTGCTGCATCAGTGCTTTCCTCGAATGTTCCATTTTTCGATCACAAAAATTTTTTTAATACACTATTTCGTGTTTTTTTTTCTCTCGATATCATCGATAAAAATAAGTCATTGAGATAGGTTCACAGAGTTGTCAAGAGCGTGGTATCACGAGTGTCATCACTGTACTGCACTTTGTAACAATTAACCAACCGGTTAATCTGATTCGTGAATCATATGAAACCAATTGTGCATCCAGTTTAATCCTATGAGTTTGTCAATGTGAAAAATGTTTAGTGATTATTCCTTGCAGTACGAATAAGTGTCTAGTACACGTAATCCGATAGTCTGTGCATGAAACGTCAAAAAATCTCAAAGGTCGATAGTTTCTTGTGCACACGTATGTGTCAGTCTAACTTCATGATGTACTTGTTTCACCAATATATTAGTAATTTCTTTGGTTGGCCCAATATACGTTTCTTTGAGCATCCGTACGTTGTCAAACACTTTATGTACGTGAATTGTCTTTACGCACATGTTCACCGAACATTATCAGGGTGTTCCAATGTTACAGTTTGTAGTATTAAGATGCTGGTTCATCGTCGGCCAAATTATGAAGATCTGAATAGTTCACGATAGCACGGTGCAAAAATTCGTATTGTGCCTGAAATATTAATTCATAAATTACATCATGTTTCTAATTATTTATGAAGGATAGATTTTTAGTATCTAATCAAAGTTACGTACAAAAGTGCTAATCATGCCATGTCTTTGTGAACGTAATTTCTTTGTCGTGGTGAAAATGTCTACGCGTTTTTCAGTCCTTAGTTGTTGAACCAATATACTAAGAGCGACGAACATGGAACTCCTATCAGATCCATAACTGCAGTGTACAACTAGCGAGCCACTTGATTCTGTGTCGTTCGTAAGCGTTTGGTTTACGAGCTCAATGAGACCACGAGTTACTTCAGGTACTTCCCCCTCTACTGTGGGCCATCCATGGTACTGATATTGCGTCACAACAACACTTTCGTCAGTTTTCGTATTGGAAACACAGAATTCGCGGCGAGTGTAATATGGACAGCTCTCGCTTTGAATGTATCTAACTTTTATATGGTCATATACATCTTCGTCATCGGGCCAATACCGTGGACACTTTCGTGGACCTTCGTTCAACTGAAATAATTTGTTGTGTAATAATTGTTGTACTATTTAAAAAGATAATAGCTGACACACGATCATTAATACTTGTATAATACTAAAAACTATTTAAAGTCGGAGGCACAACAATATTTTTCATCCGACTAATATTGTAATTATGTAAAATGCAAGTTGCGTACCATGGACAGTGCTTACGCAACAATAAAATCGAAATCTAAAGATACAATAGCAACATGAAACAATTAAGAGAAATATTCACTTACGTCTGATAACATTACTATCGTAGAGATACACTGCTCTGAAATCATTCGCCAGAAGTCTGCTATAGTAGTGTCTAACGGGTCTTGAGTAATAACGAATGACTCAGAATTGTCATAGCCTTCGATGAATGATGCGTTTATATACGTCGAGTGTTCTCTGCCTGGCACAGGTGTGAGAATTACTCGATTTCTGTCATATGGTATTACTAAATCGCTTCTGTTCTTACTTTTGTTCTCTTCCCCTCCGCCAACAGAAAATGATTTTCTATCTTCCAATACAGAGTTGATTTTCTACAAATTGGAAAGAAAATGTACAATTCTCGTCAATGAATTATTTACTGAACAATCTAAATTCAACCTTTCTTGTGGAACTTTTTACTTACATCATACTCTTCTTCCATTCTACATTTTTCTTTGCCGTTATCCCTTTGTCTTAATCTCGCCATTGCAGCTTTAAGCTGAGATGCCGAAATCTCCGTGTCCCCATATTGTGCCATTTCCATTAACGCACGATAAATGAAAATATACTGTTTCAACGATTGCACTAAGAAGTTTCTTTGATGTCTCAGATCACATACTGTGTTGAAAATCGAAACTTGCCCCTCCTCTGCGAGTTGTTGCAGCAGAGAATCTAACGCGACTAACGTTCCTGTTCGTCCAACACCTGCACTACAGTGCACCAATATGGGTCCCTTCTCTAAAGAGTAAGCTTCGTTCACTCTTTTGATAAACCTCAGTATCGCATGAGGATGTTCCGGCGCCATGAAGTCTTTCCAAACTAAGAAATGATATTGAACAATGGTGCGCGCGTCTCGTTCTCCTAATCGAGTCATTTTCAATTCACGAACTACATAATCCGAGTAAGCTCTCTCTCGAATATGTTCAACGGTGATGTCTCCAAAATTTTTGGTTTCACCCTTGTCTGGCCAGTATTTTGCACATTTTGTCTTCGAATATTCTTCAAGATTCGTTAACATAAGTATCAGCTCAAGGTGTTGTTCCCAAATCATTCTCCAGTAATCGCAAACAGTATTTTCCATTGGACCTTGGGCACATATGAATTTTTTGCGTTCTTTATATCCTAGCACAAAGTTCGCGTTTATGTAGTCGGATCCGCAAATACCATCCATTTGTGCGAGTCTTACTCTGGTTTGATCGTAACACTTTATGTCTGGATAACGATTTTTGTACAGATTCTCGCGTGCTTCTGAGGCTCTTGTCGTACGATCTGTAAATCTGTCCGGTAGCAATTCGAACTCATGTTGAAAACCATAATCGGAATCTCGGTGTCGTTCAAGGTATGCCTGGAGCAGTTCATTCTTAGGGACGGGTGGCATGTCAGGAGGGCTCGCTGCTACCAGTTGATGTCTTCCTCTGAGACTTCTGCACAAATGTCTATTAAAATAAAGATTAAATTTCATTTATTAAGTAAACTCGTACGTCTTTTGACAAAAAACATACGATTACTATAGTTACAAGTTTCTTTACCTGAAACTATTTCTCAAAGTTATAATTTCCTCTCCCCTTTGTTGAGCACGCTTTGTGTATCTATGCAATACGCAAAGCGCAATGAGAAGAATAATGATGATCAGTATAAGGGCAATGGAAATCTGCAGAATTACGCTGAGTGTGGTAACTTCCGTTGATACGGTATTCGTGGAGTCCAATCCTCCGTAAAGAGGATGGAAGTAGTTGCTGTATGCTGTTAAAAATTGATTTTCCTGATTTCCAAATACTATAACAGAAGATCTTGTTATATAAACTACTATTTTAGATGTAAAATGTGTAAATTTATTTACAAATTCGTACCGATAACTTCAATGAAACCGGTGTAGTTTGATTTTTCGTCTAAGAAACCATCTTGTGGAACAAGATCGAAAGATCCATCATTATTCTTTGTTTTCTGAGTAGCCATATTGTCTCTCTTTCTTCTTTCTACAGTCTCTGTCTGATTGCTCTCTACTACATTCGCAATGGTTGTTTCTATTTTTTGAGTAGTGGTAGTCGATGTCGTTGGAGCTGGTGTTGTAGTCGTAGTTGTTGCTGGGGTTGTTGTAGTAGTGGCAGGTGTTGTATTGAGTGGCGCCGTAGTTGTTGGAACTTCAGGAACAAAATGTAATATCGGTGGAGCGGCTTTTGGCCGAAGTCCAATACATTTGTTGCACATACTGCTACCGTTGAATGATTCGCCATCGCCAAGGAAGATTTCCGATATTAATCGATCGCTATCGAACGTTTCGGCAACGTAAGCACCACCAGAAGGTGTATTATGAGCATACTGGTATGAATATACACCGATTTCCTCGGGTGGTGGCAGATCACTGACACTCTTCTGTGGTGCTAATTTTATCAAATAAACTCGATAACAACATATAGGACCATTTCTCTCTGTGATACGCGGAAGATACAGTTTGAACAACTGTTTACCCTGGTTCTCGATTTTTCGCCAAGATCGCATGTTTAAACTGTCCCTATCTGGAATGGTAACCGGTGTGGTACAATTACCTACAGCATCTTTTCCTGGTCTACGAGATCTAGTTACACCGTTCACGCGGACAGTGTAATCTGTGTTAGGCGGTATTTGATTAAAATGAGTGCTATTCTTTTTATAAACGCTCCAATTCTGTGGTCCCCAGGTTTCGATATCTAAACGACCCATATCATTTTTAAATTTGGCGACGCCGGTCAGTTGTATGTTATAGCGTGTAATAACACCGTTCGGTTTGTCTGGATGAACCCATGTGATGGATATAAAACTGGAACTACTTATGTTATCGAATCGACAATTAACGGATAGATTTTGAGGAGGACTAGCCACTGCAAATTAAAATTCAATTGTTACTTTCAAGTTTTTAGAGTATATAAAACTTCTGAGATCGACGAATTTACCTCCATCCAAAGTAGTACCATTCACTTCAGCACTCCAATTTCCACATTCTTTCGTATATTCGCTGCACGCGTCAATCTTAAACTTATACGCCGTGGCAGGATCAAGATCGACGAAAGCATATACGGTAAACGGTTGAGCGGGATACACCGCTTCTCTTTTCTGATCCCCATGTGTAGCCATTAAGTTATAATAATGAACGTGTTCTTTCAAATCCGGCGGTGGTACTGTCCATCCTATAGTGATAGAATTTTCAGTGACTCCGTTTACGGAAACTTTTGGCACAAAAATTGGATCTGTAACAAATTGAATTAATTTATTATTCAATGGTACAGTAACGAAAAATGTACAACATCAAAATCATGTTATTTCTCTTCTTAGTACCTTTTTCAAGTGTGGTGATCCAACGTGGATCAAGTCTTACATGCGATGTACCCACGACGTTTGTAGCACTAATTCCAATCTGATATGCTGTACCACTTTCGAAACCTTTCAAAACGTAGCTCGAATTACCACCACCAATTTGCTCGGAATAATATTGATACTGATTAGTGCCGTTTTTCATATGTTGGATAAAATATTTTTTAATCGGCTCGTTGCCGTCATTTACAGTCCAGTTCAAAAATATACTTCCAGCACCAACTGCTTTCATAAAGTCAATGCTTACTTTCGGTACATCAATTACAAAAAGGTGCCTATAAGCGCTAATTTCACCGCTATAATCACGTGCTTTACAAATATACGTTCCGTTATCTTTACGCGCTAAACTCGAAAATTCTAGAGACAGTACGGTGAGAGTTTCGTTTATCTGCGTGATAGTAGTAAAATCTTTCAGGTGCTCTATACTTTCTGAATCATTCCCTTTTAACCAAGTAAATTGAGATAATGGATAGCCATGCATGTGACATGTCAAGTTAGCTGATTCCATTACTTTTGCCCTAATGTCCTCTCCAGTTGTTATTCTACCTGGCTCTAAAATAGAAATGTAATTATGATTTTTTTTTTAAACTAAAAATACAACTATAATTATTATTGATAAATAATATTTACCAATAACTCTGATATGGACATCTTTTTCCAACAATTCTCCATCTGTAGTTTGTGCCATACACTTGTAGTCTCCTGTATCATTTCTACTAGCCTGTTTGATATCCAAACGCCCTACAGACTCAAAATCTTTAATTGTAGTGAGATTCTTTCCATTGCTAGTCCACCATATATGTCCCGGTACACTGAGTTTACATATTATAGATGGTGTACTCTCAGCCTCTATACCCTCTAAATCCTGAGATGCTGTGATTTTTAACAGTGCTTCAGGGGTTTCTATTTTCTCAACACCTACATAAAAAACAGATAAACAAATGTGTTGTATATTCATTTTGATACTAAATATAACATCCTATTAATATTTAAACTAACATGACACTTTATTAAATTAAAGGTAATAATAATGAACAAAAATTGATTAACATCATCTATGTTATTTGAAAAGTAGCTGATATAGCTGACCAGAAAAGAACTTTTAGCCAAGTAGTATGTGAATGAACCAAGTAGTTGGCTCGTTAATTCATTAAAATCATAATAGTGGAGACATACAAACTGGGCAAGTTTTGTCTTAGCAGTTCAAATTACTAAAGACCTACAGTATATTTCACTGCAATTCTTTCTACATACATTTTTATGGGTTTTTACGATTCAATAAAAATACAAAGCGTTCGTTTTATTACTTCCCGAAATATTTTAAAACATTCAACATTTTTTACCGTTTAATAAAATTTCGACGGCTAATCGATCGATACTTTTTTTTGTTTATCGCGTCTGTGAGCAGTTTCTCATTTATAATCGATCAATTAGAATTTTTAAGTATTTCGAAAAAAATTCTAGTAGTAATTATAACCATTATTATTTTATAATTCATAGTAACATAAATTTTAAAACATTCTATTTCATTCAAAGTTTTTAGTTTCCCTTATAAAATGTGAAAGTGTATGGGTATATCTCGTAAATTCTTTATTTAATGAGTCCAACGGTTATTATCGCAATGGCACCAGTGACTCAATAGGCTGTGACATTTTCTCACATTAAACGTCTTCAAATTATATGCCATATTAAACGATTAGATTATTTTTATTTGCAATGAAAGATAAACGCGAGACTAAATAGAGATAGATCGTAAAAAAAAAATTTTTGATGATAACATTTTATACGGTCTCTCGTTTGACTTTCTTCCGGTTTTAGTGTAATCATTGCACAGTCGATAATTGCATTCGGTACTTTTAAATCAAACGAACTTTATTTTCCGCGAAAAATGTAACTTGATATCGTAACCGTTGATGCAAATAGACGAGACGAAAACGGATGTTGCTGGTAAACATACAAGATGTAAATATGTAAAAAATATTGACACGTTTAATACAGCGTGTTAAAGTGGACGGGTAATTAGGAAGTAAGTAAAAAACGGATGTAGATTTTGTCATGAAAAACAATAGTATAGATTTCAGACAGTATACCTTCGTATGATAAAAAGGTTAATATTTTTCTACAAAAATTCATATTCTTTTATTGCCACAATTAACTAAGTTATAAAAATTGTTTAATTAATGCATCTTTTATTTTTGAATCGAATAAATCAAGGCTTGTCACGATTACTTTTTGCTTATGATTACTTATCGAATCAAGACCTGCGCCATTAATGTATTTTTATTTATTTCTATGGTATACAGGGACGCACGTTACAAGGTGGTTAAACGAAATAGTAATCGATCGAGCCGAAACATTCTACCAATCAAGATGTAAAAAAATTCAAATTGCTGTACAACCGTTGTAACAGAAAAAAAAAAAAATAAAATAAAATGCCAATAGATAAATGGACAGGCACGTCGTGTTTTAAAGCTGAGCATCTTGAATTCTACGGCTCGCAAGTGTGTGTATACAGCAAATTGATTCTACGCTTTTTCTGGCAGAATCGATGTACCATGAAAATTGAATCCTCCGGCATAAACATGGATCGCGTAACAAACAGGAGATAAGAAAGCTGGCGGTACATCGAACGATAAATGATTGAAACGATCAAGATATACGCCAATGACATTCGATATCTTTTTATGTTGTTAATCAATCGTGCGTGACGGTATGCAATTTTATGCCCGCCTGTACAACCAACAATCCGTTTGAATTAGTTCGAAACCGCTGCCATGATATCTATTCGAGGTAAACACTGTTCAAACGAAGGACAACAAATGCGAGGACGTTAATGACAGCGGCACATCGTGTATCCGTTAACTACCTTGCTTATAACGTTCATTGTGTGGCTCTCGTGCGGCGTTTCGATGGAAAAAAAGCCGGAAGAAGCTATCGTCGCGTGCGAATCGATCGTGGGGCTATTTGCGAAAGTGTCCACGGAACTCACCGGATTCGTCAAGGCCGGCGACGATAAGTACGAAAAAGCAGAGTACCATCAAAGGGATACTCGACATCGGTAGACCACTTCGGGGAAACATGGCGTCGTGACAACCGGGCGTGAGCGTTGTATCCCTGGCCCTTTTCCCACTTCCTGCCACCTTCTTATACGTTCTCGATTCCTTTCACAATCTCATGACGCGCGGCTAGTATCGACCTGTCCATTTGAATCACGATCCAATTCACTATTTCATATCACGCTTCGCACTTTACGTGCGACGCACTTTTCGAGATGCTCAGGCACTCTTTGCGGATCTCACCCCGTAATAGTGCTCTAGCGAAACTGAATCATATTATACGAATGTAATGTAGGTGTCTCGACGAACACCACGCCGCCAAATGCGAACGATTGACACTGCCCTCCGTCGGGCCTCTCCTCCACGTTCGGTCGCACACGTCGATAATGAAGGTGATTGTCTCAAAGGCGGGAAATCGCACAGAATCTTTCTCTATTGTACGCTGTTCTGGTTTCCTCTTTCCTTTTGTAAAAAATGTAAAAAGTAACCTCATCGTTTTTTTGTCTTCTAAATATCAGAATGGGGATATCATTTTTTAGATGCTATGTAAAGTTAAGGTTACGTAATACTTGTAGAACGTATAAACGAATTCGAACGTGAAATTTATTAATTCCAAGCGTTTTTCAAATCTACGTTACGAGCATTTCAATCCATTCGTGTAGGATGCACTTATGGTCAGGTGTTATCTAATATATGCAGTTTTAGTTAGTAAAAAAGACAATAATATAGAAAATAATTTTACCATGTATTAGTTATACCTGTTGGAGTAATAAAAACTACAAAAAAATGATGGCTCAAGTGTGAAATAACAAGTGCACTGAAATTTTTGTATCTATACAATTTTAATTTTTACATATATTTACGTTTAAATCGGTTTCAATTTTTTAATTTTTTTCGTATTTTAAAAGCGAATTAAATACACTTTATTATCGGTGTGGCATGAATCATTATTTCTATATTGTGTCCTCCAGGGGGCTCCTACTATCTATAGCCGGCATTGACATGCACATATTCTTGCCTTCGTAAAATGTTCTTCAGTCTGTTTAGTTTTCTTACCTTTCTTCTTTCTTCCGCGTAAATTTCGGTGCAGTGGCAAGTGGTATGGCTGAGTTGCTTTTAGATCCAAACATTCGGGGTTGGGTGTTTTTACCTATTGTTGTGATTACATTTCTTGTTGGAATCATTCGACATTATGTTTCGATACTACTTGCCTCACAAAAAAAGGTTGAGCTTCATCAAGTACAAGACAGGTGATTATTCCGAAGCATTATTGCTTGAGCGAATCAAAATATTTTTGAAATTTACATATTTGATATTTTTTAGCCAAGTAATGATACGCTCTAGACTGCTTAGAGAAAATGGTCAATATATTCCAAAAATGGCATTTATTAGTAGAAGAAATTTCTTTAATAATGAAGAAACAGGGTATTTTAAAACGCAAAAACGTGCACCTGTCTCACAGAATCCAATGACTGATCCTAATATGATGACAGACATGTTAAAAGGAAATGTAACTAATGTTATACCAATGGTACTAATAGGTGGTTGGATTAACTGGATGTTTTCTGGCTTTGTTACAAGTAAGTACAATGGAAAAAGACTGTAAGTAAGGCTATGCTCAGTCTTTTTAAGATCAATCTCTTCAAAATTAGTGATTTTATTTCAGCTAAAGTACCATTTCCTTTGACATTACGTTTTAAACCAATGTTGCAACGTGGTATAGAATTAATTACTCTTGATGCTGCATGGGTTTCCTCTGCATCTTGGTATTTCCTTAATGTGTTTGGATTACGTTCTATTTATACACTTGTTCTTGGAGAAAGTAATGCTGCAGATACTTCCAGACTTTTACAGGACCAAGTGTCTGGTGCTGCAATGTCTATGCCACCAGACCCAAAGGCTGCTTTTAAGTCAGAATGGGAAGCATTGGAAATATACGAACACAGTTGGGCATTGCAAGGAGTTGAAGCAGATCTTATAGGATCTCAAAGGACAGATACAAGTGAAAGTATGTACACATTAGTGGTGATTAATTTCTTTAACATTTTGTAATTTTAACAATAATTTATATTTTGTAGGTAGCAAGTAATAGAAAGACTGCATCTATATCTACAGATATAGCATGTGCCATTCTGGAAAGATAATTGAAGTTTTAAATAAATATTAAATCAGTTAATAGTTTGAATTAGCACATTGAATAATGTATCATTTATGGTATTCTTTAAAATATTATTTTATGTTTTATTAGAATATCTGAATCACATTTTTTTGGTAGTCTATTACACTTTTAGTCTCATATGTACAAAAATTGCCCACACTTCTAAAGGTAGCAATATATTTTCACCTATTCTACATTTTTAAGGTACAAACAAACATTCGTATTTAATATTTATAAGTTATTAAACGGTATGTACAATAAAATGTATCATAATAAATGTTTGTTTTATATATGGATATTAAAAGAATGTAGTATGATTACTTTTTTAATTCCTTGTTAATGCATTTGCTCGTATGAAAAATTAAAAAATAATTTCACGAATATTTTTTAATATAAGGTTTAAATCAATTTCTGCTAAAACCATATCAGTTTTTTCACTACATTGTCCTATTACTGTTCCCCATGGATCAATAATCTAGTAAAATTTTATATACATAGCATTAATAACTATATTTAACATGATAAAACTAGTTTTATTCTTGTAAAGTTATTTACCATTGCATGACCCCAGCTGACTCTCTTTTTATTATGTGTACCTGTTTGAGCTGCAGCTATGACATAACACTGTGTTTCTATAGCTCTAGCACGTAATATGACTTCCCAATGTGCAGCACCTGTTTGGTATGTAAATGCTGATGGATATGTTAAAATTTCTGCTCCCATATTTCTCAATGAAAGAGCCAATTCCGGAAAACGCATATCATAACACTAATTTCATTGTCAAGTATAAATAATTTTTTAACACCTGGAAAAAAATAATGTAACACTTCTATATAAAGGATACAATACTAAGTGCTAATTTTCCAATTGGTGTTGGTATAGGTGACTCAATTTTTTGTCCTGGTGTAACATAATCTGATTCCATTAATCTAACTCCAGTGCTTTTATTATCCATATCAAATAAATGCATTTTGCGATATGTACTAACAATTTCTCCTTCACTATTTATTACAATGTGAGTATTACTTATATGGCTTTCATTGTCACATAACTATAAACACAATTAGAATAATATGTAAATAAAAATCATTATAATAATGCTGCAGCTTAAAAAATATGAATTTTTTACTGCTTCATGTAGTCCACCCAATGATAACCAAATTTTATTTGTCTTGGCAATTTCTTTGTAGCTTGTTACTGTTGATCCATTCAAAGGCTGTGCCATAGCAATGACATCCTTTTTATTATCAGCTAAATAATCACATGCTTCAGGGAAAAATGCAATCTGTCAAAATATTTTAAATTCTTGTATGATCATGAGCAATATTAAATAATTATTTTAACTTCTTTTTATACTTACACAAGCTGATCTGCATTTAGCTTTTTCAGTAAGTTCGCGTACAGTTTTAAAATTTTTTTCCTTATCGTTTGTTGATGTCATTTGACATACTGCTACTAAAGGATTTGCCATCACGCTAAAATGTCTTGTTACTTGTTTCCTAAAAAATTAGGTTACAGTATGCTAAAAATGATTAAAAAAGAAAAATACTTCGTTTTACGTTTATGCGCATTAGTAAAAACTTCTGCTGTAGATGAATAAAAATTGAACCACATTTATTTCTAATGATTTATTTGACACATTTCAGATTTTTTATAATTATTACCTATGACATTTAATAATTGTAAATCTGCTAATAAAATGCATGCTTATCATTTGTGTACTTTGTAGATATGAATATTTTATAACTCGAACAAGATAATGACAAGTCGTGTTTACAACAGTACACAAATTTTTGTATATTTTATTATGACGTTTTATAGAGGAAAGAGAACAGCAATTTCTATAAATCGTAGATCATATTTATATACGAATTACATATATTAACTTATTCTCAATTCATAAAATTTACAAAATTTGTCAAAATATTTTAGGTTAACAAGTATCCAATAAGAATTGAACGTTGAAGTGTCAAATCCTGCGTGCGCAGTCACATTAGACCTGAAGTAAGACGCAATAGTTCAAAAGTTCAATCAGTTTAAATTTGCGATCGGCGCGAGATACTTCGTTTGATAAAGTGTGATTTTATTTTCTGACGAAATTTTTTCCGTTCGTGACGATAGTAACGAGTGTCTATCTTTATCATTAATCTAGTGCAGTGTATGAGTGTTTCTAGAAGTGACAAGTGTTTACAGCAGCGATAAAACAGCTTCAACGACGGAATAAAAGGATCTCCAAATTCGGTGGACAATGGAAGGAACACCAACGATGGACTTGGAAAGGAAGTAATCGTCTATTGGTAAGTCTACGAATAAATTCGATCGAAACAAGACTGTTTATTTTTCTTTATTCTATTTTATTAAATTGTCATAGTATATAATACACAAGTGAGACATTCATTTATTAAATTCACTTATCAAGCAGAAATAATTGTTCTCGTTTCGTGGAGTTACGTTTACTGTTCTCGTTAAAAAGTCGATAACAAAAGGACAGTATATGTTTCTACGGAAAAATCACAACTTACTAGTATATCCTGTTTTAAAGGACAATCAATAAATACTACTGTTCTATTCGTAAATGCATTCGTATCGTTGCATGGAACAGATACTCTGAAACTCATGATGGGCAGGCTGGGTTAGGATGGTACTTAGGGATAAAGGAGGAGGAGGAGGTGGGTGGGATGGGGTGAAGAAACTATTATATCCGAGAAATACATAATAATATCACGCACTCGGATTGTGTTCGTTTCGACAATCGAAAAAACAACGTCTAAAATATCTATAGCAAAGTTTCAGGATGTTTTTTTTGGAAAAATTCGAGTGGAGTGGGGGGGATTTAGAGACAGAGAAAGAGTGGGGATACAGTGGGGTAGTCGGGGTGGGGGTAGGGTTGCGGTGCTGCAGGCTCAAATAATGTCGTATTTAATATTGTTTCTTATGTTCCTTTTTTGCTCGTGTTTTTTTTTCTTTTTTCTTTGTTCGCTTCTTTTCTGCCGTTTTTTGTTTCGTAAGCTGCCTTAATACAATCGTTGAGAAATCGACACACATACTTCGGGGGACACACACACATTATTTGCCTTTAGTGGCTCGCATCGCCTTGCAAATTTCAATCCACGGGTGTCCGTAGGAACTGCAAATGTCACAGACGTTCGACGAGCTCGATGACGGTTGACTAGGTTGGTGGCCGGGTGTACTCGGTGAGGATGACCCTTCTTTCTTCAATTTACACGTGGATGACCTCGGCGAGGATGAGCCTTCTTTCTTCAATTTACACGTGGATGACGAGAGATGTAGAAAATCGATCGACGGCGGTAGAGAGGCTGGTGCACGTGTTTTACGAGACGACGGTAATGTTGCCGAGTTGTACGAAGACGACGAGTTCGAGGATGGTAATATAGAGGGTGATCGCTCGAGTGATGGTGATTTCGCCGCCTGTATTGACCGGCTCGATGGCGACGATAGGCGCATACACCTTAGAAGGTTGAGTCAATCATTGAGCAGACCTTGAGATACGCTGATTAGCTGCTCCTTCAATACGCGGAAGGATGGTCGTTCTTCGGGGCAGTGGGCCCAACATTTTCGCATAACCTAAGCAAATAAATAATCATTTTTAATTCAGATTGTTCAAATAGTGACTTCTTCTTCTTCTTTTTTGTGTCTTTGTGTATATAGATGTGTACCTCGTAAACTTCCTTGAAACAGGCCTTAGGTCTTTCCAATCTCATTCCTCGTTCTACTCTATCGACAACCTCGGTGTTCTTTAGACGTCCATAAGGCATCTTTCCGCATGTGAATACTTCCCACATTAACACACCGTAGGCCCAGACGTCTGATTTGGAGCTGAAGCGGGTGTAGTTGAGCACTTCTGGTGGCGCCCACTTGATTGGAAATTTGGTACCTCCACTACTAGTGTACTGGTCATCTAGTACATACCTACACGAACAAATTCGAATAATTTGAATAAACAGGATGTGAGGATTTGAACGTCGAGGGGTATAGCAAGGGTGTTCACCTTGCCAATCCAAAGTCTGCAACTTTTACTACGTTTTCTGAGCCCACTAGACAATTGCGCGCAGCAAGATCTCTGTGGATGTAGTTATGCCTTTCCAGATAAGCCATTCCCTTGCAAACCTGTAACAGAGGTCGTTTAAATTAGCGTTACTTAGAGTAACAGTCAAAAGCATAAGAGAGTTAGGTTAAAAGATGAATGCCTACCTGTATACACATGTCTAGAAGAAGACCAACATTTGCTCCTAGTGTTGCTTCATGACGACGGAGGTAGTTGAGCAGAGATCCATGTCGCATGTACTCAGTGACAATGTATATTGGTCTGTCCTTACTGCAAACGCCATATAGCTGGACCAAGTTCTGATGCTGAAGTTTTCTGTACAAAAGAATTACCACATTGCGTTTTTTTCCCACTTTTATCTCCTACAACACCTCAATCTTTGTGAAGTCTTTATTCAATCAATGACTCACGTCATCACTTTAGCTTCTTCAATAAAATCATCCTCAGACATAGTGCCTTCCTTCATCATTTTCACAGCAACGTCTATAGAACCACACCATTTTCCTCTTCGTACCACTCCAAACATTCCAGAGCCAAGTTCTTCTAACAAATGCAGCTCTGCTGGATCAATCTCCCACTTGTCTGTGAATGAAAGAGTTGTTGAAGCATCCTGGATAAACGTTAGGCTTGTTCTCTGATGAATCAGAGGGTAGCAGGAAAGTGTTTCTCTCAGAAATCTGACACTGGAGGATTACAAACCATGACTGAGTCCAGCAGTTGGTGGTACAGGGCGATCACAAGGGCTGGTCTTCAATCTGCTAGCCAATCCGCCGCTGTTGTGCCTGTGATAGTTCACCAAGTCTGGTATCGAGCCACAGCAATGTTTCTCAGACAGATAAAACTCTCCTCTGGTGTTCTGTTTGATGTGATAGTGTTTCACATGAGGATGTGGACTGTAACAATAACCGTACAACACATTTAACAATCTCTTCCTCCTTGAATGTTAAACCATCGAACAGAGGAGGTTTTAAACACTCACACTTTAGTGTAGAGTGAAAGCGTGTACAGCCCTTTGGTAGATGAATTACGAATAACGAAGCATCCTTCTTTATCCTCCTGTTTGAGCAATGATTCTGCGCGTTGTCTGGACATATCACCCACGTACCACCTGCAATTCCAAACGTCCCGTTTCAATTACAATCACCAACAATTTTCTAAACTATATAAAGTCCCTTTAAACAGAAGACACAGCCAGCTATACTTACTCGTACTTTTGAAGACCTAGAAGTTCTTTCTCCTTCACGTAGTTGCTGGGAATGTAACCGATGGATCTGAAACGGGAGAACCAGAGAAGTTATACTCCATAATTCAGTAGCATTCTAACTGTGAGACGTTCTATGAACTTATCAGACCACTCAGAATATCAATTATTAGACGATCTATCCTATAGCAAAGTCGTCCGAAGTTCTCCAAAGAACTTCGACGTAGGGATCAGGTTTGCTTAAGTTTTAACGAGATCCAATTAGCGAGATTCGTGGTGTAAAAAGTGAGATTCTATTTCGTTTAATAAGCATCGTTTCACGTTGTTGTTTCCACGTGAAACACTTCGCGCGCGTGTGTGTGTGTGTGTCTATGTTTGATCGGATGGTAATATATTTCGGAGGAACCTGTCCTAGTTTCCCTTGGCTGGTCTCTCCCTCCTTGGCACGCGTCTTCATGCTGGCCAACGAACGCACAAACCCTAATCCGCTTTTGAAGAGGCGAACTTAAGCCTTTAAAAGCACTCGATCGTCGAGCGTGCAACTTGTCGAGAGGGAGATATACGGGGCTTCGATCGACGACGACGTTAATCCTGATTGCCAGGATGAAGCGGTGGTCACGTAATTGTGCGGGATTATATCAATTTTCACCGCTGCTTTTATCCCAAATTCTTACCCTCGATATTTTTTACTATATCGCGAAACGTACGTTTCATTATCATACCGGGTGTCTCATTTGTAACTGATATCTAAATTCATTCCGCTGTTATTGAGAGTAGGTGAAAAAAATACTAAAATGAGTTTATATAGTTTAACACTAGAACTCTACCGACTGTTAGCATCTTTCGAGAAAACGTGAATGTTCATTATCGTTTGTAACTTTTCGAATTTATTTTCTACATGTATCGATACGAATCGAATTTTCCAATCACGCTTTACTTACAGAAAAATTCACTTTTGGAAAGTCGCCAATTCATTTTGACTCGGCTGGTAATTCTAGCGGTAATGTGCAATCTAGCGATGGTAAAAAAGAGTCCTCTCAAAGTCACTCTGAATGAAAGCTGTTTTACAATCTTCGATATTTCTTTTACCATTTGAGATCACTTTAAGATCACAGATCGTTGAAACAAAAAAATAAATGTTAACTCTTTGCGGTCTTTACCTTCTAAACGCTCTGCGGACCTTTCGTCCGCAGAAACGGTGCAGAAAAAGATAATAATACGCACACAGCTTAAACAAACTTTTATTTGAATAAAATTTATACGTTTTTTAGGCAATAATCGACCGAGCAAGCGCTACCAAAAAATAATTCCAGTACGACCGCCACGCCTATGGAAAATACGACCGCAAAGTTAATATGAAAAAAAAAAAGGTGTCAGACTATATAAACTCTTGTTAGTCTTTTTTCGTACTTTCTACGTTCATTATAAACGAGACACCCTTTTTACCTACGTACCCATGCTCGTCTTTGACTTTCCACCAATGTTCCTGAGAGTCGTCCAGTACCTCGTACTCTGCACCCTGAAACACAGACTCGCTTAATCCCAACATTCTGCACAACCGTGATACAACAAGAACAACGTTAATTATTCTCTAGAAATATCGAGGTCAACCCCTTAACGTATGATTTCTTTTCCGACTATGCATCTAAGCGTCAGCCATTTTCCGTTTTAGTACCGTATCAGGTAAGAAAAACTAATCCGTCACAGATTAATCACATTTAGCAATCCTCGGTCTTAAAAATTCCAACGAAAATTAGGATTACAACGAATTTTTCTTATCGATATAACTACTTTTTCTCACATATACGCCAGAATCTCTGCCGCGAGCCTGACACGTTGCCATATGTTAAGGGGTCAAACAGCCGAATCTCGAGACCTTCTCGCACGATTCGCACGGTAAAAATTTCACGAGGAACAGCTTCGATACAAAGAGGATTTAAACACGTGACAAAGAATGTAGCAGCAGAACCGCAACCACTTTAAAACCATCCTCCGTCCAACTTTCACCGTCCTCCGAAAGAAGTTAAACGGTTAAATCTGTGCACGTTGGTAGCATTCGCGGGTCGGTTCGAAACATCAAACCTAGAGAGAGAGAAAAGTTTTCCGTGTCTCTCCGTTAAAAGAGTCGAGGGGACGACGTTCGCGGGGACCACAGCTTCCCAGACGAGTTCCCGAAGCTTTCAAGCTTCGAAAAGGGCTTTTTGCGAGAGCTGGCCGAAAACCAAGCGCCGTTGGACCACGATTTTCGATGTTTTGGGGCTAACCGTATTCCTTCCTATCGCTATTCTTCGATCGAGGCTCGATATTTTCGCGGCATTTTTCGCTGATCCGCTGGAGTATTGCCGGAAAAGACGAAATTTAACGAAAATCTGGCAATGATTTCGTACGCAGGTATCTTCTCTGTTTTTCTTGTGGGAAAATTTGGGAGGAAAAATTTAGAGAATTCTAAAACTTCATAATTTAGAATTCTCGAAGTTTCTTTCACACCTGAGAAGATTTGACGAAATTTTAAATATAATACAAATTCAGCTCCACCGACATCGTTTTTTCGGCCAAATTCGATTAATCCAAAATTCCAAATTCTGAATTTCTATGTTCTTCTTCTTTTTTATCGCGTTATACCTGAGGCAGTAGCAATTAGCAATTTTGTGATTACGAGTTATACCGGGTCTCCTACCGTATACGCAAAGTTTCCCGCGAATTGCGTTAAGTCGACAATCGTCACATGCACGACGATAAACCGAGCGAAAGCTGTAAAACGTCTCACGGTTGATTTAGTACAGGATTAAGCACCGTGGTGGTGCCTGGCGTAAACGGCGGAGTCCAAGTGTTAATGGGATCCGAGAGAGCGGTTTCTCTGCATATTAGAGGATAACCGACGTCCACAGGATTCCAACGATGCCTCTACCTATATGTCCACGATAATATGATCGACGCAGAACATTATCGAGACCGTTATCCGACCGCAGGAATCAGCCGCGCGAAAGCTCGATTATGACTTGCAAATCTCAATGATCGTTTCGAAGAACGTCATGTGTTCACGATCAAGACATTATCACGTTTCATTTCGAACCGAGCATCGTCCACTAGAATCGTACAAAATTGATCAGAAATACGTAAGATGAAACTCGACGTTTGAGCTTGTTTGAAACAGTTTGAGCTGGTTTGACGTGGTTTGATTCGCGTTTAAAAGTTGTTCCATCGATCACACGATTGATACATACGAAAAATTCCGTTCTGCTACAATTCACGTTAACTTCACACCTTCGTAATCTCGCTTTTCCATTACACGATTCGGTTTGCCACAGTTTGACACCGAGGGCCAATTCGACGCGATTTAGGATATCCGAACGTTACAGCGTAATTTGGTTCGCTTAACTTTTTCCACGCTGCAATATACCGGACTCGATGTTCGATTCGGTACGAGTCCACGTGCCCAGAATTTCATTCGATTTCGCACGGTGCAATTTGCTACCGTACATATTGTAGGTACACCACGATAAGGATTCGGTTTAACGTGAAACCATAAACCATACGCCCATCGGTTCACCCACATTCGGTCCGCTATATCGCGATGTAGATTCCGTTTTAATACCGAGCTATGTAGCTACTAACACGAACCATCCTCGAAAGACGTAATCACCGAAGGAGTGCCTTCCGAGGGCAAGAAGATATCGAAGGACCGTTCAGAATCGAATATCGAGCGTGTCGTTTTCTTTTACGCGATTCGGATTTCCGATTTCAAACCGGGGAAGGGGAATTACCGCGGTCTCGGATTTCATGCGATGCAATTAAACCCTGTATCGTAGAAGCGCCCGGCGAAATAAGTCGGACAACGATCGTTTTACCCGCCGTTTAATCGCGTATCAAACATTTCATACGTTTCAGTTCTGTTCTCCTCGATATTTTTAGGACGAATTTCCTTCCGGGTTTTCTCTTACCTTTTCGAGGGACAGGTCGCCGCCCTCGATCGCTCGAAAAGGGTACAGAGCCACTACCACCTTTGTTCTCATCATTATCTTGTCCTGGAACAGGTGTTATTCGTTCAATCGATCGTTTTTCTTTTTATCAAGGATATTCGAGAAATGTGTGTGTTTTGTTTGAAAATGTAGGCTTTTGTCAGAAGTGTTAATTCATTTTTCCTTTGTCAGAATTGATCGGTTTACCTTGGTTTTAGAGGATGGAGTCCCAGGCGTGCCTCCTGGCATTATTGGAGTCGAGGGGGTCCCTGTAACACAGAAATAAAAGATCCTCCGTTAATCGGAACGAAATTATCGAATTCCTTTCAGTTTCTCCGACGTAGAAAAGAGAGTAAGCAGGGATAAAAATATCTCGATTAATCCATCGCGGAATTATCAAATTTCGCAACCAGGCTCGTTCTCGTTTCACTTTTTCTCCTCCTTCTTTCCCCCTTTTTCTCTTCTTTTCTCGAAGCGGCCGCTATTAGTCCCGAGTTTTCCGCGGGAATGAAACCTCCTCGTTTCTTCGTCGCGATAATTATTGAATGTAGCATGGAGGAGGAGGAGACTTTGGAAGAGAAACCTCATAACTTACATCTTAATGAGCTTACGCTGCTTGCGATGTTTTAATGAATACTAATGAACTCTAAAATATATTTCTCCTTTTTTTTTCATCATCCCTCTAGCACACCTTGGAGAAAAAGTGAGCGCGCCGGAGCGAGTTTTTAACGGAGAATAATTGCTTCCATTCTCGGTCTGTAAATGATAAAAAGAAGGGAGGAACTTTTTTTTCGCCCTCCTCCGTCAAATCTCGCAATCTTACATTCTGTAAAATCGACAAATTGTCGAATTTCAAAGGTGAGTGAAAAAATGCGTGGAATGAAATTTGGTGAAATTTCGCGAGGATAATCGAGGAGATTGAAAAAAGGAGGAATTTTACAACGCAGGCAGTGCCATTTCAGTTTTTAATTAGCAGAATTATCAACTTTCGTTTCGAGTAAGTTGTAAATTCGAATCGAGCCAAGAATTACAGTGGGTTTCGTTACCAAGCCAATTAATCCGCTCTCACTCTCCTCCTCTCTCTTCCTTTGCTTGGTAATTAAACGAGGATTAAAAGTTATCGTCTCGTTTGTGTGGCTGTGCGACTGCGGACAATAATTTTTGAAAAATAACGAAAATAATTCGCGCAGTCTGGTTGAAAGCTCTTTGGAAAGCTGAACGATGTTCATTAACGAGACACCAAGACGACGATAACGGTCAATTCTCCATGCTAATTGCGGCGTTTTCTGTTCGAGCAAAACGTCTGTCGTTTAAAGGGAAATTTCCGAGATAATTTTCGAAGAAAACAGAGTAAAATATTCTTTGCTCGATACAATTGTCCAGATATTAACACAACAGTACTACATCTCCTCACATTTCAATCTTTGGAAGTGACGTGGTGTAAATGATTACTCGCGAAGTTGTTTAACAACAATATATTTGCTCAACCGATAATACTGAAACTAATTTTAAATGTAAGGCGATACGATGCGCGTAGAAAGAAGGTCTACGACAAAAGGCCTTCGTGCCTTTTTCCGGGCTCCCTTAAGCAGCCCCTTTTCCCTGGGAAAGTCCCAGGAAGTGGGGGCGCGATACATTGCCAAGGCGATGTCCTCGAGGACGAAGAAACTTGGAGATGTTTGGAAAAACATCTCTCGGTTCTTCGCCTCGAGGGCCAAGAGTCGCCAGGCCTAAGTACGTGGGCCCCTCCGTGGCGGTCGCCACAAATCTATTGGATGATTGCAAAAGTTCGTGTCCGATATGAAAATAAAACACAATCGGTGCGTGCAAGAGCAGATTGCATTTGAAACTGAAATGGAATGAAACGAATACAGTAAATTCTCTACAAGTGTCAGTCAGTTTGGATTCTACAAGTGTCGGTATAGATGGTCCTACGCCTAGGCTGCGTCATTGCTGCGCCTATGTTATCTCGCTCGCAGTCAGTCAAGAGTGTAACGCTACACCAGTCGGTTTACTTTACGAGATTTCAGGGCTCCGCAATTCATAATAGTTTTTTTACTTTTTTTAGCTGAAATTTTTTTTAACATGTTGGTGAGATTTTTCTAATGAAAATGATATCAAACACGATATAATTTGAATAACATTTACTTATTCACTGTCACGCCAGACAGTGAACGTGTTAATAAGTAAATGTTGTTAATACGTGAAAAACGTAAAATTAAAAAAGTTGGTATTTAAATCGCTTGGTTGCCTCGACTCACCTTTCATCCTTATTTTTTATTCGCTGTCCTTGTCTACGTTCGGCAAACTACAAAGGCAGGCGCGAGGCTCCAAAACGTAGTCCCTGACTCTACAAGTGTCAGGTTTAGCTTCCTTGCGGACTGACACTTGTGGAGAATATACTGTACTGGAATACTCGAGAGTAAATTGAGCAGCAATTCGAGTATTGAAATACTCAAGATTCAGATATCCGAATTAAAATTACACGGGGTGTATCTTTCCCGCCTCTCGAACCGAGATAAGGTTCTCGCCACCTCTGAAAATCGGGTACGAACTTTTGCAATCGTCCAATGAAATTCATCGAAACGAGCGTTAACAGACGTGAAACTACTTTCAACCCTTGGAATTGAACAAATTCTCATTTCCCAATTTCCTCGGCAAAATGCGTGAAAGACAGAGTAAACAGTTACCAAAGTGTTGTTAAAAATCGAAGAAAAAAAAAAAGAAAAATTAAAACAGCAATTTTCGTTTCTACAAATATTTTCCCAAGATACATATTTCCGTGTTATCGAGTATCTCCCCGCGAAAACCGCAACGTGCAAAAGTTCAGCCTGTCCAAATTTATCTCGGTCGTTGGGAAAAACGGAAATTGAAAAAAACTCAACGTTGGAAAAGCCCGGCATTTCTTCATTTTTTCCCAGAGAAATATCGAGAATTGAAAGGCTAATCTCTCTCAGCAACCTTTTGCACTCGTCCCGAGCAGACTCAGACGCGAGTTACTCCTTTCACGATGCGCAGTCGTGCTCTAATAACATAGGGAAATAGACATTGTGAACGCGGTAATAAACAACAATAAATCCACTCGTGCCTTTTTCTTCTTTCTTCCTTTTTCTACTCGTACGAGTTCCACATCTGAACGTCTATCCCAGAGGATAAAGAACGAGGGAGGAAACGAACGAGAACGGAGGGGAGGCAAATGGAAGAAAAAGGAAGGAAGAATAAAAAAATCGCGAGGATCGGTCTTTCTCTGGTTGAACGACTAAATATTTCCCGTTGGTTTGCCGAGGCAAACGATTTACCTCTCCCCCATTTTCGCCGATTTCATCGAAACGACGTTCCACGCATAGAGATACTCTGCGCGAATATTTTCCGCCAGGCGAAAAGTATCGAAACGATCCTCTCTCTCGCCGACGCAACTCTTCTACTCGTATCGTTTTCATTTCTTGCCAAATGCGACGTGACAATGGCGATCCAGTTTCGTTTCGTACTTTACACATGTGTACTCTGTTTCTTCTTGATTATTTCTTTTAGACTCTTCGAGGGAACTGAGGCCGAAATCCGGGGCCTGGAATTTGGCGACTTTAATTTCATTTTCTATGTAATTCGAGTGAATTTTCAGAGTTCCTAAATTCCTGACTAATAGAGGATATTTGTAAAAATTGAAGTTAATTCGAACAGTGAATTTTTTAGTATCAGAAAGATCGCGTGTCGAGTGAATTTCAACGAAGGAAAAGTCTGCAGGAATATTCTAAAAGAACTACGATACGTTTAACATACAGATTTAATTGGCAATTGTAAGCACGTTTGATTTCCCCCGATTCGAGCGTCTGAATTTCCACAGAGATGCGTTTAATACGTTAAAATTATACCTCCAAAGTGAATTTTCCGGCATTGGAAAGAGCGCGTATCAAGCGAATTTTCAACGATCGAAATTCAGCGGAGATATTCTAAAAAAGAAGAGGGGATCTTTTAAGTAATTTTCGCTTCCTACGAAACTGTAAAAGTGCACAGTGCTCGGCGTATTAAATCGAAAAAACGGCGAATCTATTTCGATTACAGTCGTATCACATACATGCACAGACACTCGACTCCTCGAAACGTTCCCCGAACGAGTAATTTACATTAATACACAGCTTTCTCTGGAAATGATATTTCTCTTTCTCGCAGGCGGACGCAACGACCGATTCTTTGTGTTCTCAATTAGCGTGACGCGTAACGAGCTGAAACTCGTTAGTTGGCCGATTCGTTGATAAAACACACATTTCGACCGTCCGCGCATACTCTACCTCCCGTTTCAATTATCCCCTTTTTCACCGAAAAGCTGTTTTATCGACAGATATTTGCCTCGATCGCAATCTCAAAAAAAAAAAAAAAGAAATAGAAACTTCTTTTTCATACAAAACCTACCAGATCGTGTTCGAACATCAATATCCGCTGCATAATCCCGTCGAGGATGGCCATTGGCCTCTCACACTCTTTTCCACGCCACTTTTCCGAAGATGTTATCGCCGACTTCGCGTAGTGAAAGTGCGAGAACGCGGCACCGAGGATCGCGGTTCGAACGTGCGTTTCACACACGGCAAACTGACTAGCTTTCACTCGCGATGCAATTATCCATCGAACAATTTCGTCGATCTTTTTCTTCTTTACCTCTACACGGTACGGTAGAACGATACACACTTGGAATGATAAGAGCGGAGGGAAGGTAGAAAACTAGACAGCGAGGAAGAATAGGTGAAAATTGGAGAGGGAGGAGAAAAAATAGAGGAAATGATTTTTAAGGGACGAAGGTTCTGCGTTTTTGGAAAAACTGGCTGTCGAGAGACGATTGGGAAATGGGTGTGTGCAGGTGCGTGCACCGGCCGCGGTGGATGCCGGAATATCAACGGTGAGCGAAGGACGATACCACAGCTAGTCTCCACCCTGTCTAGACAAAATCAATGCGACCTCAACCTCCTGCATCCCCTCCAGCATCCCTTAGACCGTTCAACGTCCCCACGTGCGTGGCCGCCGCGCCACACCGCGTCTCTCTCTCTCTTTCGAACTTCCTCTTCATGTCGAGTTTCATTACCGGAAGCAGTCTGCCGCTCTGTCTCTCCCTCTTCTTCTGTCTTTCTCTCTTCGCAGAGAGTGTGTGTGTGTTTGTGTGCTGCTAAGTTCACCGACCACGGATATACACGTGGGGGCATTCTTCTTCTACTTGTCTTTTACTTGTCTTCTTCTTCTTTCGAGTTTTCTTTTGTTGGCTTCTGTTTTTTTCCTTT